GTTTGGTCAAAGGATGGGCTTCACTAGTCGCTTTGAAAAGTTGTAATATGGTGCTGCGAATGGCGAGACTCACTCACGATGCCGACTACGATGCCGACCTAATGTCTGGGAATGTACCACTTCCACGGTCCGACTTTGGAAATGATCATGTATACAATTTACTCCAGACTAGGTGCGTTCCTCTAAGTCTTCCTACCAATATGACCAAGTTGCGAAGAAAAGGTCAAACAACCTCTAATTCTTATTACTGCTTGTATACGAAAATAAGTAATGTCGTCGATTGGTATAGCGAACATTAGTTTCTTCATCGACTATCCCAATAAAGAATGTGATATGGAAAAAACCTGGCCTTGAAATTCAGGTCTGCGCTTTGACCCAAGGGCACTCATAGCAATGTTGCTGAGTGGTTAACGTGTCAAGCTCGCATGTTGCACTGTTTTGGTTCGACTCCCGCTGGGGGGTGTTTATAGGACCTAGGCGTGGTCGAAACTGCAGTCCACCCTAGATGAGAACAACTTTTTGGAAAGCTAGGCTATGTGAAATTCATTGGAAACGTCAGTTCTACTAATGTCATTGTAGGAAAATTCTATTACCAGTGATTTATCACCTTAAGCGAAATGAGGTAAATACTTCTCATATAACTGATTTACTGGTAATCTCAAAACTCTGTTTACATACGAAAATAAGTCAATTCCATTCCATCACTGAGCACAAGCCTCTTTGTTGAGCTTTAACAAACACCTCAAACAAGTACTTACCACACGAGATCCACAATCTGGATTATATTTCACAGTTCACCATTGATTTTCGCCACATAGCGCCTATTTCGGGCTTTCAACTTTTTACGCTGGCAACCATTTCAACCGGCAGAGACACCAATCAAATCATGACATTTAATCTATTTTAAGGTGAAAACACTCCGTACTGAGGACGCACCGACCTTATACGCCGTCATCCTTTTTTCCTTGACTCTAAATCCATTCCTGTAACTTCTTCTATACAAGGTGCTCTGTGACTTGTTTCTCATTAACTTATTGACTATCTCTATCTGCTATTGAATGAAAGCTTTATTTATCCATTTAACTTTCCAATTCTTTTAAAGATAAGCTTAGATTATAGTCGAATTGATTATCGTAATTATGCTTAGTGCCTCTAATCTGTTCTTATGCATCCTCCCTTTTATCCTTATTAGCCAACCTTACCAACTGGTTTCAACAGCCCAACATTCCTGGCCAATCTTCGAATTCACCTGATTGTTCTATTCCTATAGCTATTTTTAGTCGCCCAGAAAATCAATCTCACCATTTTCAGCAACAACAAATTTCATCTTACTCAACTCATCAGGCCGCTGAGACGAATGGACCTGGTACTAACACAAGTGCACTCGGCTATATTGAAACAGTGCCTGACCTCCCTCCACACCGTCGTCTTGATCTGGACAGACCAGATAAGATAGGTAAGGTATCTTCAAACAAAGGAAATGCAATTTTTAAAAATGTTGTCATAAAAGTATTACTGAAATTCGTAGGCACAATATGTTACTCTTATTAGTAACTCATGGAAATGTCCGAAATATAATTAAAGGGACCCTTCAGAGTGAAGA